AATTTGAATGTTCGAGATAAAATGAATAGATAAGATGTCAAATAAACAATAATTAAGGATAATCTTGGGTATTACGCATGATAATAATTAAGCTTCACCAACCTTTAGCAATAATGTTGTACAAGAAATATGTCTTTAAATGTAAGTGGACTATTGATTTGGATAAATGTGGTATTAATAAGAGTATAAGCAACTATTTATATAAATTTGTTGTTTAGTTAGATTCTATATATGAGAAGTAGTAAACATATTTCTCATGGGAGCTTGCCCCTTGTTTTTTTTTAGACAACTAATTCATATGAGAATGTTAAAATTTATTATCAAATATTTTTTTACTATTAAGAAAAGATGTAAGACTTTTTTTATGACAAAGTAAATGTATATGTGAAAAAAAAAATAAAAGTTTTGGAAACTTTTAAGATAGTGATAATTAAAGCTTGATGATATATATAGGTCAAAAAAAAAAAAAAGAATTGTTTTGTAGAGTAATTTTGAAATCTTGTGTGATTATATTATCATATGTTAAGCCTTGATAATGGGCGTTTTTAGTAGTAGTTGAGATAATCTAATAACTTTTAAATGAATGAAAAATAGTGTTTTATATTAATATCTTGGACTACAAAACTATATAGAACACTTGCCATTTAACAACAAATCAATGAAATCAAATGTTTGGGAAAAGAGTTGAATTAAAATGAATACTCTAATTAATAAAAAATATTAAGTAGGCTGCCTTAACTTAGACAATATATAAGCTCGTCTCATGAGGATATGTAGCGTGTAATTCGACTTGAATATCTTATTCAATTAAAGAGTGCATTTTTGTAAATCATAAGGAATTTAAATACTACATAGTTTATTATAAATCATAATGAAAAAAATGATGTTAAAAATATCAGTATATGAAACTCAAGGAAACAAGAAGCTATTGTACGATCAAAACAACAACTGTGATAATAATCATAATGCAGAACAGTCTTGTGTGTGTTTTTTTTTGTTAATATATATGTTGGTGTTTAATGCTTGATGTCTAAGTTTGTGCGTTGAATGTAACCGCTTTTTATATACCTTTACTTTTTCATTAATATAATTAATCCCAAAAAAAAAGGAAAGAGAGAAAAGAACAATAACTAAAAGTTAAGGAATATTGATAAATAAAAGGAAGATTTTGTAAGTGAAACTTGAGGTATATGTTGCAAAATTATGCTGATGATAGGCATTTTGAAGTGAGCATAAGATCATGGGTAATAGTCAGCATTGCGAAATAATTGAAAAATATTTAATAATATAGAATGGTGAGATTTAAATGAATGAAAGATTTTTTTTATGTGTTAAGTGTGGATTCGTTTGCATTGAAGTCTCTCTTTTTGATTAGAGTTCATATAAAGTGATGTTGGCAAAATAAATTATTGAGTAAATGGTTTTTTTTTTTTTGAGTTTTCAAAATTTTTACGTTTAAAAAACACTTTTAAAGATTTTACTTAAAATTCTTAGAATGGACAAATTTTTCTTATTAAATTCATTCTCAAATTACTTGTGAAGGTTGGTATTTTTCATATAAATCAATTAATGTTATTCCTTATTTAAGAAGTTTTTTCTACTTATAAGGGAAGTAATGATTAAATATTACAACTGGAAAAAAAACTTTTAAATAAGTACAAATTCGAGAAATATATTCATACATTTTAATGAAGCTAATAATAATATGGTTCTCGAATTACAAATTGTTATTAATTTTATACTAACATAAGAAGTGTTATGATTGAGCGAGCCAAAAAGAAAACAATAAAATGAATAAGTACTTTGGGTAGTCTATAATTGGGAAACAAATATTTTTGTACTTCGAGTATTGCTTGAGGTGAAATATTAGATTAGGAAGTATGGGTAATTATGATGAGTATTATTTATGAAAGTGTCCTATCAGAATTGATAGATGATGATAAATGGATTAGGTTACTGATCTTCTTACAAATCTAAAAATATTGATGTGCCCATACATATTTTTGTGAATTTGTATAGTAAATTATTTATTTTTATTCTTGAAAGATGCCTTTATAATCAGAAGATCCTCATAAAGTGTTTTTGACAAATAACACCTGCTATGGCATATATTATTTTTCCTCTATATGTGTAAATACGTGTGTTTAGAATGTTGCTTATGACAATTTAGTTTGGGGTTTTGTTAGTTATTAGCTTGAGTATTTATGTGTTAGTTTGGGGCTTTGTTGATCCTTTTTACATGATTTACATTTAAATGAGTTAAAAAACATTCTTTTATCCATGATAAGGTGTATCGTTGTATGCTGTTCTTTTATATCATGGATAACATTATTATATAATAAGTTAATTTATATGATTATGATTGATTTGAGTTTGTTATTAGTATGGTTTGATTATAAAAAAAAATTATTTCTCGAAATCACTATGAAAAGTTAAGTTTATTGGTTGATTTAGGAAGGTTATTTCAAAGATGGACTACATTCCAAAGACTAAAACCATAAATTTGAAATTTGAGTGATCAAAACCAACATAGGTCCAAAATTTAGGAGCCAAAAGTTATAGAAAAAAAGATTTAAAAAAAAGCCTAAAATTACTAAATACTAAATAAAGAATGTTAATAAAAATTTATTGTCATTTGCAAATTTAATATTGTCAACACCAAATAAAGCATTATTATCAAATGTGATTGGGATTCAGTAATTTCCAATTTCTTTTTTTGTCATTTTTCTAAAATTGTATTGATCTTATTTATTTTTGGGAAAATAATCATAAAGTCTCAAAGAAAGAATATGATCATTAAGAAGTTCCACAAGTGAATACCATTAAGGATGTGTTGGGCTTAAATAGCATTAGGAATATGGACTGGCCAGTCATGGGCTCGGGCCTAAATGGGGATCCTGTTTATGCTTAAGGCTCAGAAATAGAAATAGGTGTTTTCTTAAGTCCAATCCTTGAGATGACGAGCTCAGAGTCGGCTCACGAGCTTTGGTTCGTTTAACTAAAAATACAATTTTTTTAATGTTTTCTGCTTTTTTTTTTTGAAATAATGAAAATGAAACAATAAAATTACTAATAAAAGGTATATATAATATAAATAAATTAAATTACAAACATAAACATGATCATATCTAAGCATCTAAAACATCAATCACAGTGTAATAAAGTCTATTGAATAGACAAATTATGAAAGACCAACATAAACAACTAAATAATCACTAAGTTCAATAAATAATCACAGTGTGAATGATCCAGTTTAATTATAAATAATCAATGAAAAAGTTTAACCAATATACATAGTATACATGAAGAATAATCATCCATCCTGCTGCCAAAAAAAAAAAAAAGGAGTTCATTGTCTGTACTTCCAAATTTGTTTCTAACTATAAAAATGATATATATCATTATTTTAATTCAAAATTATATTTTTAATAATTCTATTTCAAGCATAAAAAATATAAGAGAATGATAAATAAAGCCCGTAAAAATTGCACCTACAATTCAAATAACAATACATTTTGTGAAAATATCTAATTTTAAATGTTATGGTTTTTTTTTAGGTTAAAATAAAAATATAGAAATTAAAAAAAAAAAGTGTTGGCAAGCTAAAACAAGCTGGCCTGCAACCATACACCGTCAACCCGTTTATTTTCGAGTATATAAAACTAGTCTTTTTAAGTACAATTTGCCTTTTAAGACTTCAAAATACAAGCTCGGCCTTTCATTTAAATGGGCTTAAACAGGCTGAAAGAAGAGAGGAATTTTAATAGAAGGAAAGGAAGAGTGTGGAGGAAAAAATTTTATATTATCTTGTTTGGATTGATGAGAAGCGAGGGGAGAGGAAGAATTTTTTATGATTTGACATATAATTTGATAAGAGTGTAACAATTAGCTTCACTTAAGATCAAATATGGGTATATTAAGAACTAATAAGAATGAGTCAAAACAAACTAAAATATTACCATTTCTCTTCAAATGCCCCAATTTGAAAAAGAAGGGGTAATAAAGGAGAGGAGGGAAAATATTTTAAAATTTTGAGAAGAATAGATTTTGTGAAAAAATTGCCCAAACACATTAAACAATAGATTTATGGTCATTTTCTACATCAAAGCTTGTTCTTGCATGTTCGCTTACTGCGGGATTTTTTTATCAATACATTCTTTTTTTATGACTTAGGAACTATAATTTGAAAATAATTTCTAGAAAATAAATTTGAGAAGAATAGATTTTGTGAAAAAATAATTTTGAGAAGTGAGAGTATTTGGATAGTTGTTATTAGAAACACTTTTTATATATACAAATTACTAAAACATATAGTTATATGATAATTACATAAAAAATAAAATTTATGATATTTTAATTTGAAGAAATAAAATTGTTAATAAACATTTTTACTAACATAATTAATAATACATAAGATAATATAATAAATAATTAATATGTGTATATATATATTTATAAGATATAAGATTAAATATATTTATAAAAAAATAATTAAAAGATGTTAAAGTCATATTATTGTTGAGATCTACTCTCATAGGCACAATCATACTCTCCAATTTGAGCCAAAAGCAGAATGAATTCACTTTTTCTGAAACCATGGTTTTAGGCTCCAAAATCATGGTTCCTGCCCAAATCATGATTTCAAATTATTTCTCCAAAATTAATATTGTTTGGGTGACATCCCACCCAAACCATGGTTTTGGAAGGCATCCAAACAGACCCTTAATAGTAGCATCCCATGCTTTTCCCATCCAACTGCACCACATAAATTTATAGGGAAATTACAATTAAGTCCCACAGAAAAGAAATAATTATTAAAAAATCCCAATAACAATCTCAAAAGCCTATAATGACAAGTCTTATAGTGAGAATAACAACCTTTGGTACTTGTTTTTCAATTGTTTTCCTTGTTTGAAACCTTATTGTAATTCTCCCTAAATTTGTTTGTAAATTGCAGAGGCGACCGATTGCAATTTTCAAAGGCTTCTGCCTAAAATTTTCAATATTGTTTTCATAGTTTATATGCACATTATTTCACACCATGTTGCCCACTTCCTAGAGTCAACAGTTCTACCAAAGCCCACAAAAATAAAGGATGTCACAATTCACAAATACAGTGCCATCTTCCTGGCGCTGCATTTCCATCCACTTCCTAGTCTTTCCTCTTGCTCCAAAGCATTACGAGAGAGAATCCCATCAGAGACATAATCACAGTCTGCAAGGATAATCAACTAGTTATATTGCAACAGACTAAGGAATCAAAACACTCAGAAACGAGATTACACACACACACACACATATATTGAACAAAACATCAAAAAGTTTTTTTCAAAAAAACATAAAAATGTTTTTTTTTTCTCTGAGAGAATTACTATCAAGTCCCAAAAAATATGTTTGACTACCCAAAAATCCATTAACAACTGAAGAGTTTGTAATGACAGCTTCCAATGTAGGAAATGATGACACATTTAAACTACTCACTTGTCATTGGGACTGGTGATTAAATTCCTTCCTTGAGACCTTATGGTAATTCTCCCTTTTTCTTTGGCATGTTATATATGTCCAACATACCTTGATAGTTAAAAAACAGTACACGTCTCAAACATGACCTATAAGGGCCTTTTATTTGCTGATTAATGAAGCAATCAGCCGTGCTGCTATGCTTCAGTAAAAATGTTTATAGCAGATATCAAACATGATAACATACGTCATACAAGATCACCCAGTACAAGGAAATAAAGAAATAGAAAAGCATCCACTTGATGATAACTCCAGTTATAAGGGTGAGGTGGGAAGGGATAAGGGTCTAGGATTCAAACCATCCTCACATAACCCAAAGAGAGGAAGGAAGCTGGACATTGTAATCTATATTGCTAACGTATCGAGCAGAAATAAAGAGCATAAAGAGTAAAACGCTTACAGATATTGCAGGAGGCACGCTCACTATTGGGTCTGGGAAAAACCGATTAGCAAGGGCCAAGGCAAGGAGGCTACTTTGCATTCCTGCCATTGGATAAAGTAGCTACATTAAATTAAATTACTCACGGCAGCAATTTATAAATAACATAAGAGAAAAATTATACCAGTCTCGAAGGAAATTGTCCTTCGCAATGCCTTCGCATCAGGAGCTTTATAGAAGAGAAGTCCACTAAACATATAACCAGCTACAAACGCTGCCATATGAAAAGCAACAACCAGCAACAAGATAGTAACTCCAAAGGGAGACTTGACCGACTCAATGTTAATTGCAAGGGGTGCTCCAACACAGAGAGCTGTTAGCAGTACTGAGAGTGGAGGCAAAAATGGCCGTATGGCATTGCAAAAATGAGGAAAGAAGCTGTAAAAACAAATGTGTAAGAAATCTAAAAACTTCATAACGAAATGATATTACATTAAAAGAAAATGATGATTCTAGAAACTTATCTAGGTCTGAAGTATTACCGATTCAGAAGCAGGCCTGCAGCAATTGGTGCCACTACAATCTGCATGATGCTAGATACCATTCCTTTTACATCCACAGGCAACCTCTTTCCAATAAGCAACAATGATAACAGTGGAGTGACAAAAACTGCTGAAGCAGTGGACAATGATGTCATGACTATGCTTAATGGTGCCATCTGTGGATCTGTTAGAAAAGTAGCATAATTGGAGAGCTGGGCTCCACTAACGGAAGACACAAGCATAATTCCAGCGCCTGATTCAATTTACACCCAAAGTTAGAAAGTGTAGCTTGTCAGTTCTTCATATATATGATGCATTAACCTCACCTACTGCTGTTGGCAAACCAAATACAGTTACTGACAATATGCCAAATAGATAACCAAGAAAAGGCTTCACAAGAAATTGGCCAACATAACCAGCAACTATTGCTTCTGGCCTGTTTAATGCTTCAAGGAAGTCCTTTTCACTTGAATTAACACCAACTGCAAACATCAAAAACCCTAGCGCAGGTGCATAATATCTGAAAATAAATTATAAGAGAATTTAAGGTTGAAATCACTTTGAAAGAAGTCAATTGGCTATAATGCATTTAGGAATCTGTGTACTAGTAGTTTGCTCCATTATATTCGCTTTTGCATTTGCAGTATAGAGTAAGGCATAAAAATCCAGATGACAACAAACAAAAGGATAAGAAGATAAAACAGATTAAAAAAGAACTATTTACTCGACCTTTTGTTGATGCCATCTAATCTGTCTCTAGCCAATAGAGGGGAAAAAAACAATGCAACCATGTAGTATAGGATCATATATTTTTTGATTAACTAATTCATCTAGTGGATTTACTAACCTGCTCGTAAACCATGTGAAAGAAGGGGGGTAGATCAGAGCAAGCAGAGTACTAGCAAGGACTACATGAGGCAAAAGTGAATTTGATTCCTTCAGAATCTTTAGAATTCCTGTTTGCTGCTCCACAACCTAAGAAAAGAAACACAATAACCAAAAAGAAAGGTGATTGATGCTACATTGTTTTCATGTATATGTATGAAAAGATCATCAAAACTTGATCTTTATTCTAGAAAGAAGCATGTATAATTTACTCTTAATCAAAGATCTTTCTTTTTCTTTTTGCCCCCTACTTTTCTCTTTAATGATATAATCATCATCGAGAACCTTAACAATATAACAGCAGAAGCCAATATTATAATATCACCTTTTCTAGCATATGCATAAGCATGTGAGTGTCAATATTTATCAACTTGTAAAAACACATAAACCCACATGATAAAGTACTAAATGCAAATGAACATAATCTTTAACTGCATAAATTATGTTCATAACGCTGATTAATAACAAACATGTAATAAAATTTTGAAGTATCCACGATATTATAAGACGTGTGCAAAAATCTTTACTTCTTTCCCATACTCTGCTGACCAATCTACTTTTACTACTTCATGTTTGGACCTTAAGCTACACGTTTTGTTAATTTGGGAAAATGTGGTGAGACACTTTTAACTTCGAATTTCATTGGACTTTTAGGGGAGACATATAAGTGGCTGGATAATACTTCTTAAATAAGCTTAAAGTGTTAGACTTTATATACATTTTCTTCAATCCAATTCTATGCAATGTCACATGTCTTTCTCCATTACCTCACATTGGTTTCAGCTATTACAAATACAAAACTAAAATGGCAGGGGGAAAAAAAAAATCAAAAAAGCAAATTTCCCTCTCCTATACTGGAAGTATAATATCTGCAGACTGCCCAAGAAAGAGGGCCGAGCATTCACGTGGAAAGAGAAGTAGAATATGGTCACGCTTGTAAGGAGAGTATTTCAAACAAATATTTAAACATAAGACAAGCCAAGTAGCCAACTTTTTATCGTGTGACGATATCGCCGCAGGCATAGCGTTTTTGTTTTTTGTTTATCTAAATTCCAGCTGCTAAGCAACCCACAATTAGCATCAAAACCAACAAATAGAACAGGACTTCCAAGGATGCACTGCATGATGAAACCAAATCTGCTAATGAACAAGGAATAAATGCATCACAAAATAAATCTAATTCAACGAAGTGAAAAATGTTACCAAGAAGAAAACGCGATGCTAACTTGTAGTAAAATAACAGTTAATCGATCTAGTATTATGCGCATGGAGCAAGAAGACGATGATGACTCACTGGAGGCGGTTCGGAATAGTAACCCGACCGTGAATCGGATTCGAGGGAACCCGAATACTTGGGCGGTGGAGGACTTCCGAGGGGAAGCTTGGGGCTCCATACTGAAAACCAAACACAGAAACACAGAATGAAAAAGAAAATACAGGAAGAAATAGCGAAGCCAAAGGCACACACAGAATTGCCGTACAAGACTGCGGCGGAGGACGGCGAGGCGGAGTGGGGTGATGAGATTGAGAAGAAAGAAGCGAGAACGAGATGCCGGACGAAGAAGAAGGAGTTCCATTACGCAGCCAAATTGAGAGGTGAGGTTGTCTGAGATGCAACGACTGTGAGGGGGCATTCTTAACTGGGCAGTGATGTATTGGATTTGATTTCACTGCCATGTCGTTTCAGCGGCGGAAGGACAACTCCAGAGGCCAAAGCAAAGTCCAAAATGTTCTGCCGTTCACGCCCCTTAAGTCGTTGCCCAACTATCTCCCTTCTCACTCTTAGTGATTTAAGTTTCATAACAAAAAATTTCGTAATTAATTTTTGATTTAAGTGTTCTACAAGAAAAATTAGTAATCTGTTAAAAAAAAAAAACAGAACAAACTTCATATGTTTTCTTATTTTCTACTCCTAAAATCTTATTTATAAAATAGAAAAAGAAAGTTTTGGTTATCATATCTATAAGTCATTTCATTAAATTTTTAACATTAAATTTATCATTTTATTTTTTATTTATCATAGTCTAGACGTTTATTTTTTTACAGAGATGTATATATTAAATAAGAGTAAAATTAAAAAGTTGTTATATTTTAATATATAATTAATGCAATTTAAAGTTTTTCTTGATTTTTGTGAAAGATGCTGAAAATATCTCATAAATAAAATCAAAAAAATATTTGACAAAATAGTTTTTTTATATGAGAATTAGTCCTCTGTAGAGGAGAAAACTCACCCCATTCGGGAACCTCCCCTTTCCCAATAGAGGATAAAACCCACCTATCTCCCTCGTTTGAGGGGTCAAGATGTCACTAGGCTAAGAAGTTTTTGGTTATTTTATAAAATTGTTTTTCTCATAAAAATAGGTAAAAAGTAAAAAATATGTTATAAATATTATGTTGTGTAGATGTTCATAATTCCTAAGCCTCTTGGATTTCTTTCTCATGGTTAATGGCATTATATCTTATAACTCTTAAATTGAAGGATTTCTAGTATTTATTTCCTATAACCTCCAATTGTACAATTATATTGCTTAATTCCTTTCTTTATGTACCTGTAACTCTTTAGGTTAGTCTTCAATATTTGGGTCCTATAAATAAGAGATGATGTAAACACATTTGTGATAATAAAGCTAGAGGTGGTAATGCGAGGTTGGCAGTGCGGATATGGGCCAGTCCACGACAGTGCGGGCCTAAAGCGGTGCGAGTTGAAGTAGCCCGCACTTTGACGGGTTGGCATTTGAGCCCGTCTTTTTTGGCGGGTTGGACCCGTATTACCAGTTCCAAATGAAGTGAATGAGAATTGATAAATCACAATTTTCATATGCTTAGAATGCTCGTTTTGGGCTACTTTAGTAAATTAATTGAGTATTGTTTGCATTAATGACTAAATAAAATGTTGATGCACTTAAGTAGAAGAATTAGCAATTATGATGTTTTTAATAGTTCTTTTTATGAAATTTCCCACTGGATATTATTTCTGGCTTATTGTTTTGATTGCAGGTGTAAAATTGTAATTGTGCAGTGATTGAAACATATTTCTAATGAGGAAGGAAACAAGAATCCGAAGGAAACACAATTCCATAACTAATGGAAACTGATTTCCATCACCAAAGGAAAAGAGATTCCACCGAAAATTTTAACACTCAAATTCAAAAATTTCAACGGCAGAGGCAAGAAAACTGGAAAATGATTCAAAATCTTCCTAGTCCAGCTAAGAGCCAACTTTAACAACTTGCACCCAAGTCCAAATCATCACCGGAGGGAGGAACCAGATGGTATGGAGAGATAAGAAACTTTCCGACAAATATAAAATGAGAGAGGAGGAAGAGCTGGGGGGAGAACTTTTTAGGATTTTAATTTTCGTTCTTGAGCTCTGATTCTCTGGTTCTACTTCATCTTCTTTCTCAAGTGCTATCCGTTCCATTTTCTGATTGCAATCAGCGTGCTGGACGTCTTCCATGGTAGAATTGCGATCTGAGTGTGAGAAAGAGGAGGTCTTCATCAAATGTGGCTAGTTTTAGAAATTCTTCCAAGAGTAGAAATCGAATTTGAGCTACTGGATTGTAGAGGGAGTTTCATATTCATCTAATCTCTTTTAATTCTCAGTTGCTATACAAGTTGTAAAGTGATTAGCAGCGAATTCGGTTGTATTCTGTTTTAGAAATTTAGATGAATGTTGTAGAAAACTTCGTACTTCACTCTGAATTTAGAATTTAATCAGATCCTTATTTGAATTTAGTGATTTGAATATTTGTGGTTTGATTGATTGATTCATACGAGTAGAAGTTCGTTTGGTTAAGAGTGTTCAGTCTTTCTGCACATTCAATAACACTTGACTCCAGATCAGATTAAGGCAAAGAAGATAAAGTGAAACTCTTGGAAGGATTAATATTTCAACGGTCTTTCTTGTATTTCAAAGTTTAGTTGTTAAGCATCTTTCTTTCAATCTTCTTCTGCATCCAAAACTCAAAGAAAGAATTCTCTTTAAAGCTGGAAATTGTTCTCTTCTCTACATTCCTATATAAGTAATTTGTATTAACTTTGTTAATAAGGAAATCAAAGAGTTAATAGACCAAGTGATTTGATATCTAGACTGCATCATTGTACTGCACATTCCTTACCTAGTGTTTTTGATTGCCTATACAACTAAGGACAAATCAAATGGCATCGTTGCCAACCTTTTAACTCTTAGATATTCTGATTAGTGAAGTTTTAATTTATTTTGCTGAGAATTCTAATATGCTTTGATCTTCTTTTTTGTTGTTTGGATTTCAAAATTCTTGCATGAGTCGTGAGTTTGGTGAATTTTATCCTTTGGCTAGAGAAATCAATAGAACTTTAAGAAATCTAAAAAAAGCCAAACAACTTAAAGAAGTTAGTGTTCAACCAAAAACCTCACCTATTACTCCTACACACTCACTTACTGATTCAGACAGTTTTGTATCAACTCATATATCTGATACAGAATCATCTTTGGGACATTTCATAGACCATCACTTTATCATGAACCCACCTGCTGATCCTAATAACCCTAGGCTTAATGATCCTAATATTGTCAATCATGCTCAAGAAGAAGAAGCTGAAAATAGGGCTAATCATTTGAATGCTAATCATGAAGCTAAAAGTAGGAGGATTAGAGAGTTAAATAATTTTGCAGTAGATTATGATCCCTATGGTCTGTAGAATAATGTTGTGAATTTTGAAATTAAAAGTTCTTTGTTGAATGCAATTCCTAAATTCTACGGACATGCAAGGGATGATCCGCATCAATATTTGCAAGATTTGTATATGGCATGTTCCTCTTTCAAGCCACCCACTATGTCAATTGAGGAAGTGCTTAAGAAAGCATTTCATTTTTCAGTTTTGGGCGATGCCAAAGAGTGGTTAAGGTCTCTTCCTCAACATTATGCTATGCTAACATGGTCCCAACTACAAAAGCTATTTTTGGAAAGATATTTCCTAGCCTCTAGGACAATAACATTGAAGAAAGAAATCTATAGTGCCAGGGAAAATAAAAGGGAATCTTGATATGATTACTGGTCTAGATTTGTGGGAATGTTGACTCACTGCCCTCATCACCAAATTCCAAAACAATGGTTGGTTTAATATTTTTATGAAAGCATGCTTCCTCAAACAAAGGCCACAACTAATGCTGTTGCCAATAGTTCTATTTTGGACCTAACACCTACAGCTAGATAAGATCTTCTTGAAAAAATGGCTAGAAACAATTAGCAATTTAGTTCAAGAGACGCTTATGTTATAGGAGAGGTGAGTCATGGATCTGCATCTAATTCTGTAGGATAGCGTTTAGTGGCCCAGATGGAGAGTTTGAAAACTAAAATTGCTACCCTCCATACTAATTCCTCTCGACCTGTGGCACCATGCAACCAAATTGTAGCTCCCTCTAGTGACTATTGTGGATCTCCAATGCATCTCTCTGCTGTTTGTCCTTCAAAGTTTGAAGAGGTCAATGCTTTTTATCAAAGTAAACCCAACCAATACCAGAAAAGAGATCCTTTCGCGTCTACATACAATGAAGCATCCTAATCTATGGTGGGAGGGTGGTGAGAACATGAATTTTAATAATAAGTTCCTATCTAATAATTCTAGATCCTCATAGTTTTAAATAGCAAATCAAGATCTGATTGAACCATCTAAAGTGCTAATACCTATCCAGGACAACTCTAGTAAAAATGATCATACTAATCAACTTCTGAAAGGATTAATGACTCAGTTGAACACTCAAATGGCTATAGACAAGCAATCTTTGTTGAATCAAATGAAAGAAGATAAAATTTTTTACAGTTCTTCTTTGACCTCGATACTACAAAAGATGGACATTGATAAAGCAGCCATAAATTCTCAACTCACTGCCATTTGTAAAGATTTGGAAGAAGTCAAGATGAAAAATTCTAATCTCTCCCCTTATGTTACATAGCTATCCAATAGCATGAGTAAACCAACAGGCCCAAAATGGACGCACTTTACCTTCAAACACTATAATAAATCCTAAAGCACTGCATGTTATAACATTAAGAAATTGAAAAAGGATTGGAAATGCTGAGGAAGGTGAAGAAGATTCTTTATGAGATGATAGCCTAGAGAACCAAAATGTCACAAGCAAAGTTGTACCGGAGGCAAATGCTCCAAAATATCAAGAATTAGAGTCAGTTACCTTCAAAGATCATTCTAAATGACAATCGGACAACAGTAAAAAGAATGTAATGGAGCCTACAGAGCATGGTTCTACCAGCAAGGATTATGGACGTTTTGTAGCTAAAGAAAATATTCGAGATGTGGAAATTAATTAGCAAA